ACAAGGAAAGTTTTTATATTTATGTGTGAAAAAAATGAATGATATTCAAAATAGTATTTTTAAATAGCTCTTGTCTCACTTTAAAGAACATTAGAAATGTTTATTTCAGATACACCATTAGAAAATTTCAAAAAAATTGCGTTATTTTTCTGAGTTCTCTGGCAACCAAATGGTTGAATTATTTGTATATATGTAAACTATGTTAAATTAGAGCTTGCTGGAATTTCATTGTGAAAAAAATATGTTTTACCTGAAAAATTTTGAGTGACTTCTACAGAGAAAGATGTTAACTGCAGTGACTCTTTATATACATGGCTGTATTCCATTTTGATTAATGAGTGTGTAGGAGATAGAAAAGCAGCCTTGGCAGAAATGGTACCCAGGCTAAATTAACCACCCAGTGCTATTCATTATGCAAGAAATATGTGCCAGCAATCAGAGTGCATGCCCAGATCTTGGGTTGGCCTCATTAGCCAGTGTCAGTCCCTTAGATGAGGTAATACTGAAGATGCCATCCTCATCCATGGCCACATTGCCAGAAGAGAGCGCACTGTCATCTAGGCAGGACACGTGTCTGCAGGGACTGGAATGAAATCAGGCCTTCCGCATACTGGGTTTCTTTAAGAGCCCTTGAACAAACTGAAAATATCTGCTTGTCTGTGTAAAACTGGGAACAGTTTACTTTTTAGAACATAAATGACCTATCTCAAATATTTTGTATATTCCTCTGAAATAATGAATCAAAGGAAAAAGACTGTCATACTTGAGACCAGGAATTTACTTACAAAGGAAGAAAGAAAAACTTTCATCTTGTAGATGTTCTACAGTCAAATCAATACGAGCCCCTGCTCTGAAGATTGACAAGCTATGTGACATTGGAAATGGACATAGAGAAAAAGTAGTGAAAATAAGGACAGCTTTTTGACTCTTAAATAAAAATTTAAATCTCTAGAGCTACCAGCATGATGGCAGCCTTCAAAAACAATATTTTTATTCATGTGCTTTTTTTTCTTCTCTCATTTTCTCTTTTTTAAGGGTTGGGTTTGGTAGGAGACAGGGTTAGTGGAATAATTGTGACAGTATAAAAATAACATTTCCATAAATCAAGTATAAGACAAAGGTAAGAAGTAATGTTTACTGGAGGAAATTCAACTGGTCAAAATTATTTGAATGAAATTATTGAAATTAATCATCTTCAATGGAATAATATGGCTTATTGTGAATCCAAAATGACACGTGTATCACAGAGGTTTTTACAGGGAAAAAGTAAAGAGCTAGCAAGTCTGAAGGTAGAGTCACGTCCACAAAGCTGGAAAAAGAGAAAAGTAGTGACAAAAAAACAAGAAGATGAACAATAAACTAAGGATCAGAACACCAATTCTAATTTGCACAATCTATTGTATAACCCACTACTTTTTCTGAACCACAGATCCCTCATCTGTCAGTGGGGTGTGGTGAACTTTACATTAGAATCACCTGAAAGCTCTTAATAAACCTTGATTTGTTGATTAGACATCCTGGTTTAATTAGCCTGGCATAGGGCATGACTGCCATATATTGATATAGAATTTTCCTTTTCCATGTGACCATGTCACTGCTCTGAAGCCACAAGAAAGGAGGGGAGGAAATTTTCAGGCACTTTCTTTAGGACCTCTTTTTAAAGGGTTGCTAAAGAAGAAAGCTGCAATGGAATTTCGCAAATGAAGAGTGGGGTCTTTATGTGCTTCCTCTCATCTTATTTTCTCAAGAATATGTATATAGGCACATATATACCTATACCTTTTTTATCTAGCTCAAGTATAACTTTGAATAAAACTATGAACACTCAAGTAAGGAAGATCAAAACTTACCATGCTGAAACAACATGTGCCAATTTCTAGTCAATATGTGAATTGTAAGGGTCAATAATCCATAAACTATTTTAGATGGTAATTGTATGTTTTATTAATGTAATGTGATTTTGCACTATTGTATTGTCATATTTAAACAGACTCTTAAAAACATCCTGAAACCTACATGCCAAATGTACAGTTTATAGGTCCATGTTATTTCTGATAAGGGTTTAATTGCATTGTGCTAATAGTTGTTTAACGCTATTAACTTTCTGTATGTGTTACTATTGTGATGCAGACCCATAGGGTTGCTGTAAGCACACTAATTGGTCATCTGAATTTTTATAGATAAAATCACACATTAATCAGAAATCAATCACTTTTCTACTTATTTTTTTGTAGAGTATTTTTCCACACTTGAAAAAAACATGATTATTTTATATCAAACATCAGCTTTTCTTTAAAATCTTATTTTAGTAGCCAGTGCATGTTTGAAATAAGATGTATTAGAAATTATATGATATTAAAGTTGTGTTCTATTAGGTGAAAAAAATGCATGCTGTTGGTGAATCATGAAACTTTGGGGGAATTTACACTGCCAACTTACACAAAGACATGTCTCAATCCATGTGCATGATTCACGTCCTTTCAAAAGTCCTTTCTAAACTTTAGTAATGTGAAAATGTTATTCTTAGTGCGAATGAGCCAATAGACAATGCTGCTTTGCTTTTTTTTTTTTTCTAATGTTACAGCACATTGTAAATTTCTCCCCCCAATTTTTTCTTGGAGTTTGTTGTTGGCAATAAAATAGAAACAATAAAATTATTTGTTAGCAAATGATACAATTTACTATATAACAAGTTTCTATTATAAAGCATGAAAATGTGAAATAAAATCATCTTAACCAGCTCCATACTATGAACACAATATTCTGGCAGCTTTTTCTACAATAAAAGTGATGTGTTTTTTTTTACATTGCCAAAATCAGTACGACTGCCTGGGAGTGGGAGGGGGTGGGGTGACCTGAGGCCAGTTCTGCACAACTAAATCAGGCAATAACGTAAAACATCCAGGCAGTGTAGACAGCTAATCAGTGTAATTTGTAGAGAGAGAGAGAGA